ACTTTTTAAAAATGGTAATTAGATGAAAAGTGGTTTATAAGACTATTGCATTTAATGCCTTTAGATGATCCTCCATACCTGGGATGCATATTGAAGAAGAATTTTCCTCATCAAGTTTTTAAAGGTTTCTTGAAGTAAGAGACGATATACTTGCCCAAACTTAGTAATGTGTGGTTCTTTCACTCTGAAAAGTTACTATATTTTTAAACACCCCCCCAGTTGATTCAACAGCAGATCTGCTCCATACATGCATTAATCAGACCTGCTTACTTTAGTACTTAAATTTTTGTTATTTTTTTTCACTCGGGTGTGTGTGAAGTGGCTTCTCTTCCTCCTTGTACAAGGCCTACAGAACTAGGTTCCAGTTCCCTGTGCTGTGGGATTATATTTGTGTGAATGTGTGCCTAACTTGACTTGTAGAATCTTTGCTGCTGAAATAATGAGGAAGGAATCCAGTTTCATATTTAGGTCCTGGGCTGAGTTTGTACATCTGACTAATACTGTAGAGGGTGAGGTAACAACACTTCTTACATGTAAACCGGACAGGTTTAATTTGAAGGCGATACATGTGGAATCACTCTTTCAGATTAGAACTGCCATTTAAATCCTGAGATATAATAAAAACAGTTTATGTAGCTATTCCAGATGCTGTCTCTGGCTAAATCCTGAGATAAGCTGTTTTTATTATATGTAGCTATTCCAGATGCTGTCTCTGGTACATTGCCTTAGTACCAATTATTTATTTATATTAACTGTTTTTATTTCTTTTTTTGTGGGAAAGGGTAAACAAAAAGCTGATAAGAACAGGGCACGAGTAGAAGAGAACTTCCTTAAATTGACTCATGTGCAAAGGCAGGAGGCTGCCCAGTCCCGCCGGGAAGAGAAGAAAAGGGCAGAGAAGGAGCGAATTATGAACGAAGAAGATCCAGAGAAACAGCGTCGGCTGGAGGTATAATGGATTTTCAGAACAGTTCAAGAACTAATAGCAGGTGTCTCTTGTACAGTATGAGGCACACTTGTAGGTATTCCAGAAGCATGGCAACGTATTATCTTCTGTCGTGCTGGAGATCTGACACATACGTGGAAAAACAGCTCTACTTTTGTATTGATTTTGTTAATTGTTTGTTTCCAAAGCAAGCTGGTGTGAAGGAATGCCAGTCTGTGTCTAGAGGAAACTGCATCCTGGACACAGTACCTTAATTAGCCCTGTTACCTTGATCTTCTCAAATTGTCGACTTGCTTTTCAGTAAAAGTGGTGATGTTCATTCAGTTCTCTATATCCTTCCTCCAGGAAGCTGCTTTGCGACGTGAGCAGAAAAAGCTTGAGAAGAAGCAGATGAAGATGAAGCAAATCAAAGTGAAAGCCATGTGAAACCATTGTGGAAAATTTCTGTGCCACATGTAGACTTTTAATTCACAGGGTATAAAGAACTAGTCAATTTCATAACCTTACACTTCTTCGAACACTGTCGGCCATTAAGAGAAATGCTTTTTGCATTCACACTACTTAACAATTAATTTGGGTATTACAGCAACACACTGATATGTATAGAGGATGATTTGTCTCTGCCACTTTCTTCCATACGGTTGGATTATTTGCTACTTCTGATGCTTTAAAAAAAATCCTCAAACTTGCAATATCCCTTAAACTCCTTTTGTGATCTTTTTTTTTTTTTTTTTTTTTTTTTAAGATTAAAAAACTTTTAATCTTTGCCTGTAACACATCAGTGCTTTGATTGAGATTTTTAAAGTTACAGGCAACTTTTTTCCCACTTACTTTAGGGAGCGAGGAAAATAGCTTCCCCATGTTTGTGAAATTGCACAATAAATGTTGGTGTGTTTCTATGTCTGCATCAAGCTTGTAAAGGTGCAAAGCATAGAGCCTTCCATATACGGTATGGATACTTCAGGGATTTTAAAATAAGTATAGTTTAGAAAGATTTTCAAACACAGGGCACTGAAACAGTATTGCACAATCTATGCTATTGGTGGCATAAAGATAAAAGCTGTAGATTGGTTAGATATCAGGGAATGGTATACATGAACACTGTTTCCTATCTGTAGTTGTGAATGTTGCAAGCTTAATACAATGTGAATGCTGTATTTTGTGTTTTTTCTTCAGAAATGAATGCATGGTGAGTTGGCAGTTTCATCTAGATTTGAATATTCTTAACTGTACAAAATTGCCTCTTAAATACTTTTGTCATTTTTATGGCAGCTGCTGTCTATTGAATGTTCAGGAAGAGGCTAGATTTGCAATTAAACATCTGGGCAACTTCCCTTTTCCCTAAGCAAGGAGAAAAATGTTAGAAGTTATATCTTTCTGATTCATTGAAATATTTATTTCAGGATTTTGAGCTGAAGGTGGGGGAGAGGTTGGGATGAAGAAAAGGAACACAACCGCACAAGTATCATGCTTTCTAAGTTCTGTATTTTATAGATGTTTCCTACCTAGAAGGCATTTTATTGTTGCTTGTAACATACTCTCTGCAGTTATTCTGGGGAAATAATTTGGGTTTCTCTTGCATTTTCTTATTTGAGGCTTTGTATAAACTTTGTTCTAAGGCAATAACAATGAGCTGCTGTTGAAACAGCATGTGCTAAAAGCCTGTGTTACGGCATGAGATTTTACTCTGATTTGAATGCAAAAATATGTAATATGATAGACATACAAATATAATTTTATAACAGCTGGTGAAAAGTAATTTAAAGCCAAAAATAGCATAAAATTGTGTAATTTTACTTTTAGTTCTATTTAGCTTTAGAGAGTGAGTCATACAGTTTCACAAAGTTCTTTAAAAAGAAAATACAGGCAGTCCCCGAGTACACATGGGGGATAATTTTAGGACTGCTATTCTTGGCTTTTTACAGATTCCTAGCTTCTGATGTTTAAAAGGCTACAGTTTATGTTCTCTTTCCCATACCTAGATAACAGAAGAGGCGAAATGAACATGTATTTAGAGAGCAAGTAAGACACTCCATGTGCCTCAGGATTTCTATCACAGATAAATCTGAGAGGCACGGGTGGGCCTATATGTAGAAGATGGGAATAGGTGTGAGTAGTAGAGTTAAACTGGTGTCAGAATCTCAGCTGAGATGAATTCCCCAACTCAAATACTACAAAGGGAAAGGGCTACAACAAGGGCATTTAATCTGTGGCAATCAAGGGCTCCAGAAGTCATTGGAAACTTGCTTGTTCTCGCTTTGTAAAAAGAATGGGAATTACATTCCAACCAGAATGCTAGACAGGTTTATACAGCAAGGTAAGAGCTTCTATTAGAAGACAGCAGTCTTAATGACAAAACTCTAAAGAGCTGTTTCAATGTAAATATTAAACATAACAGGAATTCTCATGAAGGTTTAACAGATGCCATACTCAAAAGGAACAAGGAGTCCAAAGCAAAGAAGACAGTTGGAGTGTTTCTATTATATTTTACTCTTTTCATAGATAGTTTGTATGAATGTTCATATTACAAAAGTAGCTGCCATGGCCCAAAAGTGTAAGGAACTTCAGCAAAAGCATTCTATTTACTCAAAAGAGTGTGCAAACTAACTATACAGGCAGTCCCCGGGTTACGTACAAGATAGGGACTGTAGGTTTGTTCTTAAGTTGAATCTGTATGTAAGTCGGAACTGACCAGCGGCTGACTACAGGAAGCCCGAGGCAGAGTCGCTCTGCCCCGGGGTTCCTGGAATCAGCCTCTGATCAGTTTCAACAGGCTGAATCTGGACGCCAGTTCCGACTTACATACAGATTCAACTTAAGAACAAACCTACAGTCCCTATCTTGTACGTAACCCGGGGACTGCCTGTATAGTTAGTTTGCACACTCTTTTGAGTAAATAGAATGCTTTTGCTGAAGTTCCTTACACTTTTGGGCCATGGCAGCTACTTTTGTAATATGAACATTCATACAAACTATCTATGAAAAGAGTAAAATATAATAGAAACACTCCAACTGTCTTCTTTGCTTTGGACTCCTTGTTCCTTTTGAGTATGGCATCTGTTAAACCTTCATGAGAATTCCTGTTATGTTTAATATTTACATTGAAACAGCTCTTTAGAGTTTTGTCATTAAGACTGCTGTCTTCTAATAGAAGCTCTTACCTTGCTGTATAAACCTGTCTAGCATTCTGGTTGGAATGTAATTCCCATTCTTTTTACAAAGCGAGAACAAGCAAGTTTCCAATGACTTCTGGAGCCCTTGATTGCCACAGATTAAATGCCCTTGTTGTAGCCCTTTCCCTTTGTAGTATTTGAGTTGGGGAATTCATCTCAGCTGAGATTCTGACACCAGTTTAACTCTACTACTCACACCTATTCCCATCTTCTACATATAGGCCCACCCGTGCCTCTCAGATTTATCTGTGATAGAAATCCTGAGGCACATGGAGTGTCTTACTTGCTCTCTAAATACATGTTCATTTCGCCTCTTCTGTTATCTAGGTATGGGAAAGAGAACATAAACTGTAGCCTTTTAAACATCAGAAGCTAGGAATCTGTAAAAAGCCAAGAATAGCAGTCCTAAAATTATCCCCCATGTGTTAGTCCCTGGGTACAAACCAGGCTACTCTTGTAAGTAGGCAGAGAACTGGAGGATATTAATTTTTTGCTTCTTGAAGACACGTTGTATATTTCAACATTGTCATAAGCAAATGAGGCAGCGTAATCTAGATGAAATTAATATAAGGTAGAGGCACAACTGGGTGAAAAATGGTGTTCCAAAAGTAGTTATCAATATGTTGCTGTCAAACTGTGAATATTTAGCTATTGGAGCCCCACAGCAGTTGGTCCTGTGTCTGGTTCTATTCAGTATTTTCATTAAGGACTTGAGTGGAGAGAGTGCAGATAAAATTTCTAAATGACACCAAGTTGGGAGATGTTGCAGGTGTTTTGTCAAAATGACTATGACATATAGGGAAATTGGTCTGGATTTAACAAAATGAAATTCAGTAAAGATAATTGCGAAGTATTTCACTTAAGGAGGCACAATCAAATGCAAAACTACAAAATGGGCTAAGTGGTGGTACTGCTGAAAAGGATCTGAGGATTAGTTAATGCTAAGATTTTGGCATAGACTTTTAGTAAAAGTCATGGACAGGTCACAAAAGCAATAAACAGAATTTCACAGGAGCCCATCACCTGTCCCTTTCACTAAAAATATCACTGACAAAATAGGGAGGTGAGGAGTCCTGTCATCCACTGTGTGTAAGAGCTCCAGGGTTCCACTTGTCCCTGTGGTGATGGGGGAGCCGTGGGGTCCTTTTGCCTGTCACCTGCTGTTATGGCTGGGTAGCTGCAGGGGTGCCCCCCACTAGGGCTGGGAGCTGAGGCAGGGAGGGCAGATGGGAGCTTCAGTCCCTGGGCAGAATGTCGCAGAGGTCAATGGAAGTCACAGATTCCATGATATTCATTACGTAATCGTAGCCTTGCTTGTAGTAGATGGCAAATTGAATGAGTCAACAATGTGATGGAGTTGTGAAAATGGCTACGTTCATTCTGGGGTGTATTAATGTGTGTCGCATGTAAAACATGAGAAATAATTTTCCCGTTCTGTTCAGCACTGGTGAGGCCTTGCCTGGAGTGTTGTGTCCATTTCTGGACTACAGACTTTAGGAAAGATATGGATAAACTGGAGAGCCCAGAAAAGAGCAACAAAAATAAGTATCAGAGGGGTAGCTGTGTTAGTCTGAATCTGCAAATGCGGCGAGGAGTCCTGTGGCACCTTATAGACTAACTGCAGTGTAGGAGCATAAGCTTTCGTGGGCAAAGACCCACTTCGTCAGATGCATGTAGTGGAAATTTCCAGAGGCAGGAATAAATATGCAGGCCAGGATCAGGCTAGAGATGGATTAAATCAGGGAGGATGAAGCCCACTTCTAGCAGCTGATCTGGAGGTATTAAAGGCGTCAAGCCTGACCTATGAGCAAAGGATAAAAAGTCCTGTTTAGTCTTGAGGAAAAGACAGCTGGTCAGGGTAGGGGAACCTGATTACTCTTCAAATATGTTAAGGACTCTTATACACAGAAGAATGATCAATTGTTCTCCATGTCAATTTAAGGTAAGTGGAAAAGTCATGGGCCTATTTTGCAGCAAGAATGACTAGATCCTGGGGAAAACTTTCTACGGGTATGTCTACACTGCAGAGTTTTTCCAGAAAAACAACCATTTTCCCAGAAAAACTACACTTACATCTACCCTGCAATTGCATTATTTCGACAAAGTCCAAACAACACGGGTTTTTCGACAGCGGTAAATCTCTTTCTACAAGGAAGAAGCCTTCTTTCGAAAGAAGAGGCCTCTAGGAAAAAGCACAGGTGCACTGGTGGCCACTCTGTCCCTAGTAATCACAACTTAAATGTGAGAGAGTGTCCTTTTCAATGCGCTTTTGCTGTGTGGACGCTCTCTTTCTAAAGAAGTTTTTCCGGAAGATCTCTTCCAGAAAATCTTCAGAAAGAAGCCTGCAGTCTAGACACAGCCTAGGGGTATGTCTAGACTACGGTGTTTTGTCGACAGAAGTTTTGTCGACAGATACTGTCAACAAAACTTCTGTCGACAAAGAGCATCTAGACTACATCCAGTTCTGTGGACAAAGCAAGCTGCTTTGTCGACATAACAGTGTGGACGCAAAGGACAGTGTAGATGCAATAATAGTTCTGTCGATAAAAGGCATGTCGATAAAAGGCATTATTCCTCGTAGAATGAGGTTTACATACGTCGACAAAACTGCTGAGTTTTGTCGACGTTATGTCGACAAAACTCAAAGGCAGTGTGGACGCAGGTATAGTTTTGTCGACAAAAGTGGACTTTTGTTGATAAAATCCTGTAGTCTAGACACACCCTAGGATAGGGTTCCAGAAGATTCCTATTATTGGAAGTTTTTGAAAACAGTTCAACCCGTGCCTTCTAAACAATGGCACCAAACTAATGGAACCTGTGCCTTCTAAACAATGGCACCAAACTAATGGTTGACTTGAACATCACAAGATTTAAAATAATAGTTTTGGGGTGGTTATCTCCTTTTAGGTACAGTTAAATCCCACGTTCCAATTTTTTTGTTTGTTTTGTTTCCACTAAGCTCAAAGGGGCTGGACGTTTTTTATTTTAAATGAAAACTGAAATTCTCCCATGCGCCTCTTCAAAGCTGAGCTATAAGAAAAGTTGGTAATTCTGAAAACTAGTAGGTTGCAGTAGTTACTGCATTATTTTGGACTCCTACCACATAAATCATGCACAACACATTACGAGGCTGAGCTGGATTGTCAACGTCACGTTTTGGCAATATTGGGTTTCAGACAAAGAAAGATGGAAAATCCTGCTATTCTTTCTGTGACAAAATGCTGGATCTTACTGGAAGCTTCACGCAAAGGCTGTGTCAACATTGGGGTCTGCTTTTGTGCAAAAACTTGCTGCCTGTTTACACTGGTCACGAGTTCTTGCACAAAAACACTAACATTCTAATGTATGAAATCGGGGCTTCTTGTGCAAGAACTATGATGCTCCCGCTCAGGAATAAGCCCTCTTGAGCAATTGTTCTTGTGCAAGAGGCCAGTGTAGACAAGCAACATGGATTTCTTGTGCAAGAAAGCCCTGTGGTTAAAATGGCTATCATAGCTTTCTTGCGCAAGAGAGCGTCTACACTGGCACAGATGCTCTTGTGCAAAGGCACATGCCAGTATAGATGCTCTCTTCTGGAAGAGTTTTTGCACAAGAACTCTTTAGCAAAAGAGTTCTTGTGCACGATCATGCCAGTGTAGAGGTAGCCAAAGTGTTCTATAATGGGGTGCAAAGCTTGGATCTCTTTCATTCGCTCTGCTGGAGAGAGGTGGATGGAGTTATTTGACTGGCTTAGGGGTTCTCTTTGCACCCACGTAACTGGGGACTTGTTCTCCCCCTCCCTTGTGGGTGTGTGCATGAGTCAGTGAGGGGGCTAGCTTGGAGAGGGCAACCCAACCCACATTTAGCCTGTGGGGGCAGGGGTGGTTCAGAGATTGCCCCCCCTTATCCTATGTGTGGGGGGAGGTGCTCGGTGATTACCCCCCCTTCCCCTGTGTGGGGGGGCAGTTGGTTTAGGGATTTCCTCCCTTACTCTGTGGGGGGAGGGGCTCGAGGATTGCCCCCCCCTTACCCTGTGTGTGTGGGGGGGGGATGGTTTAAAAACT